ATATATCGTCACAAACAGAACTGCCCGGTAAACCGTAGGCAGAGAGAGAGAAGAGGACAACAAACGAGGGGCTGTGACAAACTGTTTCGTCGGAGTTTCACCGACTCATCAGGAGGCTATATAATTATTTTATTTTATTTTTTTGTGGGGTGCTGACAAACCCCGACCGATAGGTGCCGACCAGCTGATCGGTCGGTGGGGCGGCAGCCGACCAGTCAAGGGCCGCCGACCGTCGGGGGGTGCAACCCTGCTTGTATGTCTTGTAGTGTGGCTGCTGTGTTGGTGCTGCCTTGTGCTTCGCTGCGCTGTTACCATGTTGCTCGCCCGCTTGACCCTGTCGTTCCTTGCAGTTGTTTTTGGCGTTGTGCAGTCGTGTTGCCCCGACAGGATTGCCTAGGGTGCTTCGTTGAGTTGCTGCCTGCTGCTATGTTCCGCTTGGGGACAGCCTCTGCCTTCAACAAGGGTCGAAGGGTTCATGACCCACCATCAATACGGGCATTCCGCAGATTGTCAAAGGGTTCAGCCTCCTGATGAGTCGCTGCAACTCCGACGAAACAATCTTATCATCATCAGTTTCCTTTTTTTCTTTTTTTTTAATAAAAGAAATAGCATGCTTTATTATATATGGAGCAAAAGGAGGCCGGGAATCCCTCCACATCTCAACCCGGAAGACTGGGGCCATTACCCAGGTTTGGCTCTTGCTGCAACCCGGGTCCAGATACCAACTCTCCTATGATGCTTCATGCTATTCTCAAACAAAGAGTAAAACTGGATTAACAAAAGATAAAATAGCGAAGGTGAAAGAACCTGTGTACTAACTTTCCATCTGTCCCCATCTTGGGCCCTAAAACTGACCACTGTGACTCATCTTTCCCTTTACTCGCGACGCCTCCTCCTCTCTGTACACTCCACTTAAACCCTAAACCTTACGGAGCGGACAATTCGCTCAATCCCAAAACATAGCCTAACCTAGCTATCTCTTCCAGAGGTTGGAAGACTATGACTAGCCTTCCACTATTGCTGTCTTACCTATACCTTTTAAATAACTCTTCAATACGCCAAACCCTCGTTGCCTCTTGTTTGAACCGTCTATCTTTCAAAGCAGTGGAAACTCGGCGTCAAGCCTACTAATGTTGCTATCTTCCCTTGGAGCAAAACCCTCTTTGGAAAATTTTCCGTTAGGTCCTTGGCTTGCATTGGGTTTTGCTGGGCCTGCTTGCGGATTCCCTTCCATTGAGCCCGGACGTCTGTTTCCACTAGATTGTAGAGCATCTCCTTCGCTTCTTGCCTGTGCATTTGCTTATTTCCGGTGGCCTGCTGGCATCTGCGCTTCCATATCGTCCATAGTACATATTGCCTTATAAGCTGGAAAGTGCGCTTCTGGTACTGAGGCCCTACCGCAGGAGGGTCACTTCCTATCAGAAGTGTCTCCTCTCCCTCAGGAAAGGGGGAGTCTGTAATTTTACCCCAGAGTGACATGGCCACATCCCATAGATATACTGCTTCTGGGCAAGAGAGGAGGCAGTGTCGCAGGGTCTCCGGTACCCCTTCCGTGCATTGCGTGCACTGTTGACTGGAGGGATCACGGTGGTGCTGACTGTGACGCTCAAGAAGCCATGAGTTGGCCGGGACTGCCACGTGGAGGATCAACCACTGCAGACTCCTTACCTTGCTTAAGCGGATCTGGTGTAGGGATGACCATGGTAGTCTTGTCACGTTTTCCTTCAGCACCTGCATTCTCTTCTCCCATCTAAGTGCAAAGGGTTCAGCTAAGGGTGATGAGCGCTTCCTGAGTCTGTAGCCCAGCTTGGTTGTATCGTGCAGTATGTTGATTCTTCTAGTTATGCCTAGTGACCCCCCCCGAGGTTCCATGCCCACTCCACTGGGTCAACCTCCAAGTCCTGAATATCCGTTACTGGCGCAAAGATTGTGAACTCCTCTGTCTCTATCACCCTCACTTTCCTCAGCTGGTCCTTTTTTATGGAGATCTGGATGGCCATACCCTTGTCCAATTGACTTGTATAGGCCCCTGGGGATTGGATTGTGTACATCTGTGCGCTCAGCCATTCCGCTTCCCGGTCCCACCTGTCCCCCAATTCTAAATGCTTTCGTTGGAGCGTCCTTATTGCACCAGGCTGCCCAATCTCCGCAACCCCAATGCCGTGGCCTCCGGAGTAACCTGACCCACCCTTTCGGGATTAAGGACAAGATCTCGCTCAGGTTCTCTGCCAGCCTGTGGCTCCCCTTCAACACCTCCCTTAGCTCTCAAGCCGTCTTCCATTGCTGTTTATCTTCCGACCAGTCTGAGAGGTGTTTGACCTGCCAGATGCCATGCTCCAGCCAGGTTCCCCACTTGGTGTCTTTAGACGTAAGAGTGCGCGGTTTCCCCTGCTGATCCTTAACCCATGGACTGCAGAAGAGGGGTTGTCTCAGGACTTCCTCCCTTGTGCTTGGTTCCTTGACTTTCGTTGGGAAAATTTCCATCCAACTTTTCAACAGTTGAGCTCAATATGACCCTCCCCTAGGGCCTCCTCCTTCTGTTCCTCCGTCGTTCCCACTCCTTCCTTTCTTTGCCCAGCTCTTACTCAATAACCAGAAGGTTCCTTCCATGTTGGAAGGCGTTTTGAACTTGGTCTGTTTCCTAATGTGCTCCATAGCTAGAGGGGCCCAGGGTAGCTGCGGGTGTGTGTTCAGCTTCAAAATCCATTTTTTTGAAGTGCCTTCAGTTGCTGTTCCGGATCCAGTATGCCCAGTCCCCCTTGGTCTTTGGATTTAATGACATGCCGCCAAGCCACCTTGGAAATAAAATGTTGCTTAGTTGGGTTCGCTGTCCACAGGAAAGCCGTTGATTCTCTTCTTAGTTCCTTCATTGCCTGGTCTGGTGGAGTCCATATCGAGCCAGCGTACCACATCATGGAGTACACTGAGGTATTAAGAATGAGGGCTCGTCCAAATACAGATGTGTAAACCTGGGACTACGCACTGATCCTTGTTAGCATTTTTGCCAGAAGTTCCGGCGCCATCGAGTGGTGAGGGCCTGAGTCCGCCAGCCAAACCCCTAGATACCACAAGGGTTCAGCAGTTGAGACTCAACTCATCCCGCCGTAGTTCACTGGGTGGAGTTGACCCTCTTCTGTCCATTGTACCAACCCATTGTCTTGGGCCAATCGATTCTCATTTCTAACGCTAGCTGGAAGGCACTCATTGCCCTTGTGAGCGCTTCGAAGGAGGAGTCTGAGGCCCATATCAGAACTGTTAGGTCATCCGTGAAGAGTATGGTTGTAGGGCTGTCTCTTATACACATCTAGATGTGTATAAGAGACAGTATCAGAACTGTTAGGTCATCCGTGAAGAGTATGGTTGTAGGGAGCTTGGCGCTCATTGCCCTTGTGAGCGCTTCGAAGGAGGAGTCTGAGGCCCATATCAGAACTGTTAGGTCATCCGCGAAGAGTATGGTTGTAGGGAGCTTGATGGTTCTACCTAGCTGGTCTGGTTCCGCTACTAACCTGTCTATCGTGGGGTTTTTGAGGGACTTGTAGTTTTTACTTTTGTGTGTTTGAGTGTCGTCCTCCCTCCCCACCTCCCCCGCGCCCTCCAGCCATTGTCTTTTGCTGCTGCCTGTTGTCCTATGACAAGTTGGATTTTCTTTATGAACTTGCACTTTCTTTGTCTTGTGCGTTTATGTATGGTCTGCCCTCGAGCCTTCCCCCCGCTGCTGCTCGTTGTCATTGCTTCCCTGCCTTTTGCCTTATTGAAGTTATAGTCCTTTTTTCTCCCTATCTTGTGGTGTTTGTTTGATGTGTTACCGTGTGTGTTTGAGTTCGCCCACAATGTGCAGTGGGAGCACGGATGCTCGTGTAGTCCGCCATAGTCATCCCACCTTCCAGTACAGGATGTGTCTGCTCCACACGTACAAGTTTTTGTTCCTGAGCATGCTCGTGTAGTCTGGCATAGTCATTTCCCACCTTCCAATACTGGATGTGTCTGCACCACACCTACAAGTTCTCGTTCTTAAGGTGCGCCAATGGATTATTTCGGAGATTTGATGGTAATGATGTCTCTTACAATCGTGCGCCTTGTCGCACACACCCTTTCACACACACACACACACACACACTCACATACTCTTACACGTGCCCCAACAACCGTCTACTGCATCATGTTATCTTTCCTCCTGCCCCTCAACCACACACACACAGAGATGCGCCGGGCCTGCCAATTCCCCAGAAATTGTTTTGCAAGGCACATTACCCAAAACGATATGACCGATAGGCCCTCCAGAGCAGAAGGTCAGTGGAAGGCCTGCCAGTCCTTTTTTTGGCCATGTGGCCTTTCGGTGTGCAGGTAGGAAAAAAGAGGGCAAGCATAGAGGCCAGGGAAAAACTGGAGGGATGGTGAAGGGGCCAGCGAAACAAATGGAGGGGTGGCAGACCCTACTTCGCAGTCTGTCTGACTCTGTCATGGCGGGCCAGGTCCCTCCATTTGTTTCCCTGGCCAAAAATTGGAGGGCTCAGGTTAGCCCTCCATGACAGACTGCGATGTAGGGGTATACCACCCCTCCATTTGTTTCCCTCGCCAAAAATTTGGAGGGCTCAGGTTAGCCCGACAATTTGGAGGGCAGGTTAGCCCGCCAATTTGTTTCCCTGGCCAAAAAATTTGGAGCGCAGGTTAGCCCGCCAAAAATTTGGAGGGCTCAGGTTAGCCCACCAAAAATTTGCCAAAAATTTGGAGGGCAGGTTAGCCCGCCAATTTGTTTCCCTGGCCAAAAATTTGGAGGGCAGGTTAGCCCGCCAAAAATTTGGAGGGCTCAGGTTAGCTCTCCATGACAGACTGCGATGTAGGGCAGATTGGAATTCTTGGGTGAGTCTGAGTGAGGGCCAACAAATGGAGGTAGGGCATGTTCACACAAGAATTTCCGATCGTGGGTGCACACAGCCAAAAATGAAGGGCTGGCAGTCGTGTGCTACCGCGCAGAACCTACCGTGGCATGAACAAAAAAAAAAAGACAACTCCTATAATACCATCCAAGGCATGGTACCAGACAGCAAGGATATATGGTTCATGCTTCTTTCTTGAACAGATCAACCCGCAATCCCCGCAGTTAGGTACGGCAGAAACAATCAACTGGCAATCACTGATTTCAGTGATGGTGTCGCATGAAATCAATTGCTGATGGCTACTTGATTTCCTGTTCCACCATCAATGATTTCGGTAGCGTGTCGGGCGATTACGCCAATGATGATCGTGATGACGACGGTAACGACGACAAAAACAGCAACGCAACAACAAAACCATGACTGCGGTTAAACCACCAGTACTTCCTAAAGTCGTGCCCGTTAACGGTACGCGATTTTAGGAAACGTACGGGCCACTACAGGAGCGCCCAAATTCATCCAACTAGAAACGTTTCTACTCTATTTTTTTCCGCGGCCGATAGCTGGGCCAAGTACTGGTGGTTTAACAATGACTAAAACAAGGTCAACGAGTGCAATGCCAAAAACATTCACAGCAACAAGAACAACGATGACGATGATGATGATAACCAACATCATCACCGACCACAAGAATGACAACAACAATCATCACCACAACCACCACTACCAACAACAACAACAACAACAAGAAAAAGCTCACCAGAGAAGATGCGAAGGACTTTTAAGCGGACTACTTTACAAACACCTTTCCCCGCCTCTCCTTTCCCCTGGTTTGTTTAGGTTTAGGAGATTAGTCATTCACTTCTTTTTCTGTGTCTTTTCGAGACTCAAATTTGCGATTTGGTAACGCGATCAACCAAACAACAACAAAAATGGTCCTCCCTTGTTCTCGTAACTGTGGTCAGACTTACGGTCATCATTGCCGTGGTTGTTTTCTTGGCTGCGATGGTTCCGGTGTGCCTATGCTTGTCCCAGTTGTTGTGGTAGTGATTCTGATCATTTTTGTCCCAGCCTATGCTTGCCCCAGCATTGTGATGGTTCTGATGTGCCTATGCTTGTCCCAGTTGTTGTGGTGGTGGTTCGGACCATGGTTGTTCTTCCTGTGCTTTTTATAGTGGTTGTTGTTGTGGTCGTGGTGGTGGTGGTGGCGGTAGCAGTAGCAGCAGGCACATTGGTGGCAGAAGTCGAAGAAGCCGAAGAAGATGAAGAAGCCGAAGCAGCACCGATTAATCAGTACCCTAGGTTTCTGTCTCCTATTCTGAGGAGCATTGGTTCCTTCTCCACAGGACGTTGGGAAGTCAAAAAAATACAAAACAACAACACTTCCTCCCATTGAGACCAACGGAACCCCTGATCAGCATCAGCATTGATTACTCCTAAGATGGTGGATTGAATGTCAGGTATGGCTATCCTTTTTGAATTAGAGAAGAGAACATTTAAATTCGTCGAATCATTAATAATTTAATACTTGCCAGGTATGGCTATCCTTCTTGAATTAGACGAAGACTCGAAGAGAATATTTGGGCTACTTGGGCCGCCGCCCAACAGCTCAGGCTGGGCATCTGGGCAAGTCGCCCAGGGTACCTGGGCATGCATGGGAACAAGTGGGGTCTTTTTTTTTTTTTTTTTTCCCCCCGTCAATGCGGGTTTTCCGCGCATGCCCAGAGGAGCCCAAATCCAGGCTCGTTTCGCTTTTCAAGTGTTGGCTGTCAAGGGGCCAGGGAAGGGGGGGTATAAATTGGTTTCAAAGGGACCAAAGGGGGTTTAAAGGGGGGTGCCTTAGTCTGATTCTGTTATTTTCTTTTTTTTTTTCCCACCTTCGATTCCATGAGGAATTCTGATGGGACCCCTCAGCCAAAAACCTGTTTGCAACTTCGCATTGCAATTCAGACGTGTGTCCGGGCACAAGTTGGGTGCCCCCGGGCGCCCGGAAAACCAGCCTAGGTTATTTTTTCAAACTTCAAAATCACATTACAAATTTTAAATTTACAAAATTGAATATTTATTATTTACTTACATCAAGTTACATGTACAAACTTAGTAAATTACAAATAACTTGAAATAAGGTGATCTGTTTGTTTAACTTTGTTACCCTGTTTAAACTCTAAATTTGCATTAGAAAATGCCTGCAAAAAAGAAGAACAACAAGTCCGAAAAGCCGACTTCAAAGTGTTTGACCCTTTCGGTGAGTGCACGCATAAAAAATAAAATACATACTTCTGCAGCATCGACTGGATCCTCTTGCAAGCTGTCTCACACGCGAGGGACTCGTCGATGTCGAAGTCCAGTATGTCCTTCTCTAGCCTCTGTAGATCCCTGAAACCGAATGCTGCCTCCCTGAGGGCATCAACTTTGACTTCAGGCCACTCGAAATGCTTCAGCACTGCACGCTCATCGACCTTGGTTGATGACACATTGATACAATCGAAAACAGAAAGGGTCAACCATCTTGCAAGAGGCAGAAAAATACCCAGGTCTTCTTCATCTAACGGATTCTAACGCCCCAAGGGGTTATGTCCCACTTTACCCTGCTTCCTTACTTTCGTCCATTGATCTTGGTAATCTTTTTCTTTTTTTTTTCTTTTTTTTAAACACCGGCAGTCACAGATAGGAGTGATGGTGTGGTGTATGTTCGATCTTGGTAATCTAAGATCGAGAATGAAGAATCTGAGTGAGTGTCACCTTGCCCCATGAGCTCATAACCACACAAACGCCAGGTTTCGCCTACTACTGTCTTCACCCGAGGAGAACGCCTGGTCTGTATCTAGACTGAAAGTTGCAGCAAAAGCACGGCTATGATGACCGGGCGTTGTATTTGCGTGAAGACAGTAGCGGCGAGGTCCCACTTTACTCCAATTACTCATTTTAACGGTCATTGATCTCCACAATCTACGGTCGGGAACGAAGTATCCGGGTAGGTAGGACTTCATCACAGAAGCACAGAGACCACACACACACCGGGATTTGCAACAACCATTGCCCAATTAGCCATTAGAGATGGTTTGAGTGATTGTAGACGTGTACAGAAGTGTCGACATCTTGACATATATCTATATATAGATATATACTACGACTTCGCTAGCTTCCTGCTACGGTTTTCTCCGGTCAGGTCGAGCGGCAGTGGTCGGGGCCATCACTACGCGGCCATGCTGTCCCTCTAGTGCCAGCGGCGTGTCTGGAGTGTATTTTTTGGCTGTGACAGACCTTTCTTTGTTTCGTGGGTGTTTTGCTGGCTTGTGATGGGGTGTGAACCGACASYCTRTAKAGTTTTCCATCTKGTGTGGGTGAGTGATAGTCTACTTTGAYTTTGGTTAAGGTGGATTATCACTTACAGTGTAATCAGTGAGGGGATTCTACAGACTGTTGAGGGTTCAGCCTCCTGATGAGTCGGTGAAACTCCGACGAAACAGTTTGTCACAGCCCCTCGTTTGTTGTCCTCTTCTCCCTCTCTGCCTACGGTTTACCGGGCAGTTCTATTTGACGATATATATCGTCACAAATATATATATTGGCGCTCTGATATCATGTGACAATATATTGTCACATAACTATGAACTAAAAGAGCGCACTTTGCGAAACAAACGGCAAAAATAAATATATATCGTACGCAAACATATGACGATGTGGTGCAGATTCCAGAGCGAACGGCATATATGAGTAATACAGTTTTACTCATGTACACGAGTTTTGCTTATACATGGGTTGGTACAAAGGGCAAGCAGCCTCAACACAGGAAGCGGAGGGTCCTAGAGATAGAAGAAGAAGAATTTTTCAGATGCACTCTGTTGGATGCCCCATTTTCCCAAATCATTCACTATACCCAGAGGACCCATGCAATGCTAAACCATCATTTACCCTAAACCCTACACTGTCATCTCTAGTCCCAACTCGTTACTTTCCCTCACTTCCCTTGCGGCCGTCTCTCCTCTCCCTGTCTCTCCTTACCCTGTCTCCGTCATCTCTTTTTCACAGCTTGCTGACTGTGATTCCAGGGCAACTCATGCTTGAACGCCACCAACATCGTGAACCCTAAACCCTAAACCCTGATGCACACAGAGCCGCAGTAGAAGCGGAGAGTTGAAAGAAGAACGAAAAGAAAGACTGTGTTTTATTCCAAAGAAAGAACTATACAGCAAAAATAAGGCACCAAGTACGGTTCGAGTGTGCTTCATGCTGCGCCAGCAGCCTACCTCAGTTGGTAGAGCAGACAAGCGGCATTCAGGAGGTTGTGGGTTCCATTGCCCACCCCAAGTCATCCTTTCCATCCCCCTGCACCCCCCTGCGGTCCACTTTGGATTCACCAGCTGAGATAGTTGGGTACCCACCCCTCCTGGCTGGTCCTGGCAGGAACAAGGGTCCTGCCATCCCTCACTACGGGGGTTAGGAGACCCAGGTACTACTCCCCGCACAGAGCAGGGCTTGCGAGTAATATCCTGACGAGTCCCCCCTGGTCTGTACTCAGCTCGGTATTGCCCCAGACAACTTAGCTAAGAAAAAAAAAGACTAGTCTTCTTTGTTTTTGAGATAACTCTAGTTGCCAAAGTTTTTTTTTTTTTTTTTTTTTTTTGAAAACAGGGTCTTATGGTCCTGGTTCCTTCTATTCTGGGGAACATCAGTCCGGTTCCTATTCCACCGGGAAGTCAGAAAAGATATTACATTGCAGCAGGAACTCACGCTTCCTTCCGTTTGGCCAGGACCCCTGAACACCATTGATTACTCCACCATTGGTAGAGGATTGACTGTCAGCTTGCCATGACTCACTCTTCTCTCTCAGACCTGAAAAGACCAGTTCTGCCAGATAGTATTATGTCACCAAGAAAGAGCTCGCCCCTTATTTTTGCTTGCCTGTGCTTCCCCACCCATCAATCCTGCCCATCAGTCAGAGTATCCCTTGTGCCCTTGAGCCTTCCCCCTTCTTTTAAATTCCACTAAACACCTTAAACCCTACACCCTACCCCTCGCTTAGGATGCATTATTTCCTCTATGGGTGTCTCAGGTTTCGCTTAGCTCAGATGTCTTTCCAAAACTGTTGCGATCTGGTTCTGCCCACTGGATTCTGAATTGTGCCAATCTTTCCAGAGTAGTCTATCATCCCGGGGTTCCGCCACCTTGCCTTCCAACAGCCATAGCCTGCTGAATCTCTTCCTGACCTTATCTTGCGTGTCCTTGTCCTCCGGCATCGACCGCCTCTGTCTCCACCATCTGCTCCAGATTTCTTCTGCCTGCAACAAGGTTTTTGTTTCCCCCCAATACTTTTTATCGCAGGTTGGAGAGGCCTTCAATGGTTCTGCCACGTCTTTCCTTCCAGATGATCCACAGTGTCACTTTCCTGTTTGGACTCAATTGTTCTGCCACGTCTTTCCTTCCAGATGATCCACAGTGTCACTTTCCTGATTAGTCCAAACCACAGCCGTTCTGTCTTTAAGAGATGGTCAGGGAGGTTAGTCCAGAGAAGAAGTCGGATGGGGTGTTCGGGGAAGGGCGAACTAAAGAGAGAGTCCCATAGAGCTGATGCCCTTGCCCAGTATTCTGTGGCTTCGCTGCAATAGAGTAGGCAATGTACTATGTCTTCTTGGCTCCCTCCGGTGCAGACCGTGCACAGGTCCGAGCTGCTAGGATCGTTTTTGTGTCGTCTTATATGTAACCATTTATTGACCGGTAGTGCGGCATATGTGATAAGCCACTGAAGGCTTCTGATTTTGATCGGTTTTATAGTTTTGTATCTTTTCCAGGGGATCTGGGAGAGGTTGTCAGCTTCCTGTCCTAATAATTTCTGCCATCTGTTTCTGATTACCGGAGTTGGGTCTTTTGTTTTGACCAAAAGTTTATATCCGACTTTAACTGCGTAATTGTATATCGGGACCCTAGAGTTGATATTCCTGTCTTTGTCTGGTGTCCAACCCCATTCTGCTGGGTCAAATTCCAGGTTCCTCACTGCCGTCTCTGGTCTAAAGATCTGTTTTGGCCATTGGCCTAACACTCTTATTTTTTGAAGTAAATAAAACTCCATAACTACCGTCTCCACATCCTTGTTAAGTATCAATGGTGTGCCTTGAAGCGACGAAGAAATCAGGAAGGACGAAAAGACGGCTTGTGTGGTTGACCCCGGGTGTATATGAGAGAATTGATATGCTCTTGAGGGGGGGCATTCCTGCACCTGAAGTCCCCACTCCCCAGTCTTCCATGGTACGGCTTCCTTTAAGATATCTTTCCAGTTTGTAGGGATTTGATCCAAGATATAGTGAAGGTTGGGTCCTCTTTTATGACAGCCCTTCAGTAGCGTGTTCAATTCTTGTTCATTTATCCATTCCTTTCTTTCTTCCTTCCATAGGTGACCAACTGTCCATACTCCGTTTTTGACCCAAGAGAGCCATCTCTGTTCTAGGACAAGGGGATTGTTTGCCTCGTCAGTCACCCAGCTGTTACCAAAAAATGGTTGTCTTAGGACCTCATCTACGGACCTTGGCCTGTTTACTCTTTTTGGTATTATTTCTCTCCATATCCGGATCACTCTAGTTGCGAAAGTTGGCTATAGTTATCTCAAAGCTAACTTTGGCAGAAGCACATATTTATCTCATAGTTAGCTAGTATAGTTATCTCATGGCTATACTAGCTGCTAAGTTGGCTATCCTAGCAAACTATGTAGCAGCCCAGCCAGCTAAATCAGTGTATAAACTTACTATAAACTTAGTATAAAGTACTATACACAGGCAACATAGTTATACTAGTTGACATTTGCTGCCAAAGTTGGCTATACTAGCTAACTATGTAGCGGCCCAGCCAGCTAAGTCAGTGTATAGAGTAATATAAACAGACAGCAGCACATGCATCTGTCACCAGATACGCTAATCTGCGTTAAGATGCGAAAACGGAGGTGAGTTTGCCACATGTCAACAGAGCTCATATCAGGCAGGTCAGCTTAATCCAGGTTAGTAATTCTCATTTCTCACTACACGAGTGACTTCTATGATCGATCCGCTATATAGTAAATCAGCATATGAAGTTATAAACAGACAGTATCGCGCATAGCTGTCATCAGGTAAGTTAATGTATTAACTTATTAAGGTAAATCACCAGAGTTCCCACGAGCCTCTTAAGTTGACGAAGCTACCTTCCAAGGCTTGCGAGCCTCCAACTGTTCTGTTTCATAGTGGCTTTCAGCGCTCACTACTACTGGCCCGGGCCCGAAGCATGATGGCCCTACAGCATAAACCGGTGCCAGCTGTCAAGAGCTCATGTCAGGCCAGTGTCAGAATGTCAGATAAGATGGGACACTAAGGTAAGTTTGCCTTCTCATGACAGCCAGATCACTGACCGAAAAAAAAAAAAAAAGATCACCTTAATGATCCAGCCTTTACTATACAGCTATTCCACAGCTAAACGTACTAGCTACTTTTGAAGGGAGAGAGAGAGAGAGAGAGAGAGAGAGAGAGAGNGAGAGAGAGAGAGAGAGAGAGAGAGAGAGAGAGAGAGAGAGAGAGAGAGAGAGAGAGAGAGAGAGAGAGAGAGAGAGAGAGAGAGAGAGCGTGCACACTGCACACAGATGGCATTACCAGATAAGACAGTTCAGAGTCGAGCCACTCCACGAAGAGTAGAATGTCCTCAATAACAGCATACTCCGCATTGTGAATCTCCTCCACAAGTTTGTTAACAAATTCTGCTTGCGTTTCCACATCCTCCTTGATCTGCAAGGTAACCAGCACAGATGGTACAACAGGATGTCATGAGTGCATGGACGAGTGGGCTGTAAATGCTTCATCATCTAGTCTAGACAAAATTTAGAAATGTGATTCATGCTACTATACAAAATAGTAAAATACAGCATAACAACAACAATGAATCCAAGTTGGGAACGAACCGCCCAGAAAAGATCAACTAATAACTGTTTCGTTTCGCACTCCGCGTCAATCTTTCACCACAGAAGAGCGCCTTGAAAAGACAATTTCATGGAAAGAGTGTCTGTCCTTGAAACATGGGAAAAGAGCGTCTTCCGAGGGAGGACTTTCAGGTTCCAGTCCTGACACGAAAGTTTGTGTGTCCTCTTATGCACGGTGCACAGCTTCGGTTGAGTTTCAGTACAAATTCTCGCACGACAAATTGGCCCTAATACCGCCCTATGTTTCCAGTCAATGGCACTTACATAGGAGTGGAGGTCACAGTCCAAGCAAAAAAAAAAAAAAAAAAAAAAAAAAAAAAAAAAAAAAAAAAAAAAAAAAAAAAAAGTATTTCGATTCTCGAAGGCTCAGGGAAAAAAAAAAAAAGGTTAAAAAACCCTTGCAAACTCACCGCCATAAGGTATGCAGACCGGCTCTCCATCTCTTCAATGAGCTGTCCCCTTGGATTTCCTTTCTGCAGTGCCCCTTTCTGGACGGTCGTGGTGGAAGCATCTCTACCGGCACCCCTCTTCATAAGCAGCTGGTAAAGTCTCACCACCTCTGGTGCCCTCTGAATGGCAGCATCCTTCATCCCATGCCCTTGTGCCATCCCGAGTCCCCGCTTCATGCCATTGGATCCCGCAATCGGAGGCGGTGGGGGTACGGAAAGAAGGAGACCAGGACCAGATGCTCCCTCGCTGCCAGTTTGAGGCAATGACGGCAGAGGCGGCGGCGGCGCCAGTGGTGGTGGGAGAGGTCGGCCGACTGCCCCAGAGCTTGGCACGTTACACGCTGCTGAATCAACAGGGTCACTACCTGGACGACCAACTCCTGGTCGCTCGGACGGCTTTGGGGGTGGGCGTAGCTTCCTCGGCTTCAGCCTATCGTCAGATGCATCCTTGGTTTTCCCACCCACCCTATTCTCCAACGCAGCACCCGATGGACCCTTCATCATCTGTTTGTCATTTTCATCAACATCCTGCCCTTTTGCTGGAATTTTCAATCTCTTAACAACTGGCCGCGTCTTTCTCTCCTTGTTCTCCTTCGCCAAACTACCAGCAGACCCCACAGAGCCAGCCGCATTCCCTGTTTTCACCGGTTTGTCCTTCTTGTCAGGAGACCTTTTGGCAGCTCCGTCGGAGCTTTGTGGTTCTCTAGAATCCGCAGCTGCTGCTACCATGCCTTGGTCTTCCACTGCAGCACCGCCCTGCTCCGCCGCGTCCTCTGAGAACCTCTGTGAGCGCCTCCCGTCTGCACGCCGCTTTTCTCCACTTCTTCCATCCACTCTCTCTCTCTCAGGATGCCTTTCCCCGCTACCCCCCGCTCCTCCTCCTCCCCCTCGTGTTGCCTTCGCACGACCCTCGTCCTCCTCTTCGACAATCAAACTGTTGATAGCATGATCATCCATATCCAGATCAATGGACGACGGCGATCCATCGCCTAACGAATCCCTCCGGACCGTTATCTCCGGATCACCTGGCCTCCATTTGTGTACTGTAAGCTCATGCCGCATGCAGGCGTTTACCCACCTAAGGTACATCACTTCTTGGACATCGTCAAATCGGCTATCGTGTAGAGATTCAATCTGATATTCCAACTCCAATTGTTCTTGTCGCGCAGCAACAATCCTCTGTTCGCCTTCCATTGTCAGTTGCCTCTGCTCAGCCAACAAAGAATTCCACAAGAGAGCATCCATCCATGCTACCACAAGATCAGCAGGCAACATGCCTTACCCCCTCCATCCGCAATTTGCGGAAGCCGGTTTTCAGCATGAAAAATCAAACAGCTGATTTTCGGCGTGAAACTGAACAAATCAGCATATGGAACGGAACAACGCTCCAAAACATCACCAACCAGACGCTGCCCAGCAGTGCTATCCAATGCTCCATAACATCACTCACTGCAGCGATACATCATTGATCCTTCCTTCACTGCTGCACTTGTTGCAAGTTGTTGAGCCAAAGTGACATCAGGAAAAAGATGTCTTTACAATGTTGACATGCTGTTTGCGACGATGGAATCTGAGGGATAGGATGACATATCTGCTTAACCTTAGACCTTTAACCTTACAAGTTAGAACCTTTTTTTTTTTTTTTTTCTTAGAAGCTGATAAGCAACCGGACTGATGCCCCCCAGAATAGAAGGGGCAGTTTTGTATTGTTTAAAAAAAAAAAAAAAAAAAAAAAGAAGAAGAAGAAGAAGAAGAAAAAAAAAAAAAAAAAAAAAAAAATCCGAAAAAAAAAAATGTTGTGTAGAATCGCAATGCAAACGACTTTTGGCTGAGGGTCACATTATAATCTGTCTCTTATACACATCTAGATGTGTATAAGAGACAGGGGAGAGGTTGTCAGCTTCCTGTCCTAATAATTTCTGCCATCTGTTTCTGATTACCGGAGTTGGGTCTTTTGTTTTGACCAAAAGTTTATATCCGACTTTAACTGCGTAATTGTATATCGGGACCCTAGAGTTGATATTCCTGTCTTTGTCTGGTGTCCAACCCCATTCTGCTGGGTCAAATTCCAGGTTCCTCACTGCCGTCTCTGGTCTAAAGATCTGTTTTGGCCATTGGCCTAACACTCTTATTTTTTGAAGTAAATAAAACTCCATAACTACCGTCTCCACATCCTTGTTAAGTATCAATGGTGTGCCTTGAAGCGACGAAGAAATCAGGAAGGACGAAAAGACGGCTTGTGTGGTTGACCCCGGGTGTATATGAGAGAATTGATATGCTCTTGAGGGGGGGCATTCCTGCACCTGAAGTCCCCACTCCCCAGTCTTCCATGGTACGGCTTCCTTTAAGATATC